AAAAGTGCAGATAAGAGTGTTACCATAAAGTGCAGATAAGAGTGTAAAGTTCTGCGCATGATCTACTGACGACACACACATTAATGAACACACATGCGGATCATTTCCATAACCAACACAATCTACCAAGAGCAGCGCAAATTAGCATCTGGTTTAATGCTTTTTTGGGCGTTAAATAATGGCGCAAATACCAGTAAACTGACTAGCACAAACCTTAGTATATTGCATAATCCATTTAAACACTCTCCTCCCATAAATACTGCGTCTAAAAGGAAAACTCCTGCAAATGCATATGCAATAATCTCAGACGCAATTTTTCACAGCGCGTCTTTAGTAAATCCTTACAGTCATTTTTTTAACACAAGTCTTAAAATCTGTCCTTTGACATGTTATATCATGCTTGTTTAGCTCCTCATTTTGCATCTATTGTACTTTGCCCATTTTTTAGCTGCTTGCTGCTATATTTAATGTTTCATTTTGTGTCATGAACGTTGGATATTTTGCTGTAGTCCAACAAATTAATTGGCTGAAGTCTTCAAGACAGTTTGATAAATCAAAATTAATTTGATAGATTATTGGCAAGAACGTCTCCAGGCAAAGCGTGCCAGATTTTATTTTATTTTGATGTTTACGCACATACATTGTATATAATACTAAATATGCAAAATGGACATACACACAGATGCATTCAGTTCTTTGTTGGGGGCTAATGTAATGAAAAAGAGAAACCAGAGCAACTTGGGTACCAGAGTGGAGAGGAGGAGGAGTGGTGATGAGAGATGGGTTTTTGATGATAAAAGAAGTGTCACTCTGTGTGTGTGTGTGTGTGTGTGTGTGTGTGTGTGTGTGTGTGTGTGTGTGTGTGTGTGTGTGAGGGGGTTGATGGAGAGAGTGCGAGACAGCAGGAATGATAAGAGCATGGAGGTACTGAAGCAAGAAATAATGAAATGGAGAGAGAGAGAGAAAGAGAGAGAGAGATGTGTCTCCCAGGGGGGGCCGAGCCAAGGAGAATCTGTCGTTCACCTTCAATTAATTCACGCGTTTCTCCCACTGTGTTCTAAAGGTGCAGCCAGGCGTGTGTGTGTGTGTGTGTGTGTGTGTGTGTGTGTGCGTGAGATGAAAAAGAACGAATTGTTATATATTGTATCTTTTATGTGTGAATCGTACACATTTATGTTTGATCATTCATCGTACCTCCTTTCATTCCCGTGCGCTTGCATGTCACACAATGAAAGTGTGTGATTGAAAACAGAGAGTTAGTGAGTAAAGTTAGAAGCTGCGTAATTGATTTGTGTGAGAAGAAGTGTGTTTATATGGGCAGTTGTGCATCTGTTTCCGTCTGACAGACTGGGATGAGTGTGTGTGGCCTGGTAAACCCTACGTTATGGGGACAAAATGTCCCCACAAGGATGGCAATATCCGAAATCCTTGTTCGTGTGGGGACATTTTTTGGTCCCCATGAGGAAATCAGCTTATAAATCATACTAAGTGATGTTGTTTGAAAATGTAAAAATGCAGAATGTTTCCTGTGATGGGTAGGTTTAGGGATAGGGTTAGTGTAAGGGAATAGAATATACAGTCTGTACAGTATAAAAATCATTATGTCTATGGAAAGTCCCCATAAAACATGAAAACACAACATGTGTGTGTGTGTGTGTGTGTGTGTGTGTGTGTGTGTGTGTGTGTGTGTGTGTGTGTGTGTGTGTGTGTGTGTGTGTGTGTGTGTGTGTGTGAGATGGGTAGGGTTAGTGTAAGGGAATAAAATATACAGTTTGTACAGTATAAAAACCATTACGCCTATGGAATGTCCCCAATTAGATAGGTAAGTAAACGTGTGTGTGTGTGTGTGTGTGTGTGTGTGTGTGTGTGATGGGTAGGGTCAGGTTAGTGCAGTGTTTCTAAAACTTTTTCTGCCATTCCCCACTTTGAAGGTAGGGGAGGGTTCCGTGCCCCACCTGTCCCCATGCAATCGCCCCAACAAAATGTTAACAAACTAGGCTTTAAGTTAAAATGTTTTTTATTAACATGACATTTTAAAAACATAAACATGACATGTAGATAAAAATAATAATGCAACTGTGTTTGTATTTTGCCTCTGATAACATCACAGAGAAAATAAAAGTGTTGGCCAGTTGTGCTTGCTTTATTTTATCACTTCGCAAACTGCATGCAAAAAGACCATTTTTATAAAAAATGTATAAAATAAATTTTTTTATAGAATAATAATAATCTCAAGGTTTTCCTGGCTCAAAACGAGGCGGACGTGGTAAGATCCTAATAACGTATTTTAGGTATTTTTATAATAATAATTGTATTTTGTATTTTTCGAAGACTATCATATAAGTTAACAGTATTTTGTGTGTGGACCTCGGCACCCCTAGGGGGGTCCTGGGGTATGCTCCTCCCCCCAGAAGAAAAGTTAGTAAATTTTAAAGATAAATTCATAAATCTGGTGCACTTTGAAAGTTCAATATTAAGTGATTAACTAATTTAGTGTTTGCAATGAGCCTGTTTTGTAGTAGGCTACACATATTGTCTGAGCCAGAGACGGAGAGCGCTCACCGCTTGTCATCACAACTATTCAGTGTTTTCAACCACATAATGTTTATTTTAGGTTTTAGACATTTAAAGTCACATAAGTACAAAAAAAAACCCAATAGGCTACATTTAGAGTTTGTCAAATACACACTTATGTCTATGGAAGCGGCAATAATAATAATTAGTAGCTATAATTAGACGACAATGCGACACGTATATTCATATCATACACAACACATCGTGTAAGAAACTTTAAAGTTAACTCTATATTCCTATCCCAGTTCACCGGCCACTTACTCTCATGTATTTCGGGAGAAGTGGATGAATTGATGTTTGTTAAATCCAATGATTCGATTCTCTAAAATGCGGCATAAACTAACGCTCATCGCGTATTGCTCAACTAAGGTGTTTAAACAACAAAACACATACACTTGCCCATATTTGAAAATCAGAATATCAGATATTTCCTGGTATAGCCAACACATTTGTGAAATAAAAGCAGATAATCAGTCATTCAGCGCTATTGTGGCTGCGGTGTGACTGCAATGACGCGTCACCATGGAAACCATAAAGGGATACGATCTAAATAACGGGCGCCTCGAAAATCTACGTGTGTAAGGCTTACATTTAAATGTATCGTTGTTTTGTTTTGAGTTTATGCTCAATAAATAAAGGAATGAATAGAGATGGGCACAAAAAATACCACATTTTCTCCCGTTTGTCGCACCCCACTTGTCATGTTTCCATTCCCCACCAGTGGGGCGCGCCCCACACTTTGAGAAACGCTGGGTTAGTGTAAGGGAATAAAATATACAGTTTGTACAGTATAAAAACCATTACTCCTATGGAATGTCCCCAATTAGATAGGTAAGTAAACGTGTGTGTGTGTGTGGTTGGGATCGGGTGTGCCATCCTTCACTATGCTTAACGCCACACATTCATCAAACGCAGAGAAAGGCAGTAAAAGCCCAGTGTGTCCTGCACAGTCTTCACTCTGACCTCAATAGTAACTCTACAGGGAATCTCAACGGTTTCTCTTCTGCTGTGAATCACACTGACCTTTACAAATCTATACTCGCTTTTTCCTTTTTTAACAACATTCCTCCAGTCGACAACCTCCCCCCCCCCAAGCTTCTAGAGTCACGAAGACAAATAGCACACGATCAGTGACTTAATCGGTATCTGTAGTGTTTTCCCCCCTGTAATTAACAGTAAACGTCTGATTAGTCCAATACTGGAAGGAAGCTGATACTATCAAGGCTGATTTCTATCCAGTTCAAACTTTATGCAAGGCTTTTTTTTTTTCAACATCCTGCAATCTCTTCTCAGTTCTGGAGACAATGTTTTATTTTTTTGCTAATCGGTTTGACCGACAGTAAAAATACCGATATTTATCCAGTTAATCGGTTATAATATTCATTCATTTTCAAATGAGAATGTACTGTATAGCTTAACAAAAAAAATTTGCTGATCATTTAGATTAAAATTTAGCATTAATATTGACTACACAATTATCATGGCCAAAAGAATTCACAATAATACAAATTAAGGATGCACCGTTATGAACATTTTGGCCGATAACCGATAATTCTTTATATCTGAAAGCCGATAACCGATATATTGGCCGATAAATCTAAAACCAAATTTTAATATAATTTGAGAGCCTGAATACTGAGTGCACTATATATCGGCCACCATAATATCGGTATCGGCTGATTTATGTTCATTTTTAATGTTAGCGTTATCGGCCTGATAAGAAAATTTGGCTAATATATTGAAGCCGATAAATAATGTATTATTTCCTTCAGCTGAGACACTTCAGATGCGCACTGTTCAACATGATGGTTTTAAAGTGCTTAAAATATGATTGGAATCACTTCAAAAAAAGAAAAACACAGTTCAGTGCAACATGTGCAGCGCAAGTCTGTCATATCGGCTACATACAATTATCATGAGAACATTATAATTATGTGTTTGGGACGTGGATTTTAATGGTGAGAGTTTTTTATCAGACTCAAAAATTTTATATACAAATTTGGATTTAGATTTATCAGCCAATATATCGGTTATCGGCTTTCAGATATTAAGAATTATCGGCCAAAATGTTTATATCGATGCATCCCTACACTTATTTATATCTGTCTCGGTTTCTGATTTAAAAATAAATATCTGTCACTGTCAGTCTAAGCCTTCCAAAACATAGAAAGATGCTTTTTGCACCCAGATGGTGGTTATCTGCCAGCAGGGCTAACTACCGATGCTAACCAGCCTAACCTTACATTAATAAAGCATATAAATAATTATTGGTTAATGAATTAGCTGACATTTTGATATCAGTTGATGCCTAATAGTACACACTTAAATGATTATTTGATTTATTTTCTGATATATTTACATTGAACTGTTTAGTTACACATTTGGTTAATAAATGCTAATTGTGTTGTTGTTTTGCTGTGTTGCAGGTTTGGGAGCAGTTGATCAGTTCGAAATCTCCTATGGTGAACGTGTTCATGGCAGTTCCCACCATCTACTCTAAACTCATTGAATATTACGACCAACATTTTACTCAACCACAAGTCCAAGACTTCATCAGGGCTGTGTGCAAAGAGAGAATACGGTACCATCCTCTCTCTCTCTCTCTCTCTCTCTCTCTCTCTCTCTCTCTCTCTCTCTCTCTCTCTCTCTCTCTCTCTCTCTCTCTCTCTCTCTCTCTCTCTCTCTCTCTCTCTCTCTCTCAATTCAATTCAATTCAATTCAATTCAAAATTGCGTTAATGGCATGACTGTACATCATTAAAATTTAGAACAGTTTATCAGTGTTTCCCCCAGGATTTTTTTTCAGAGGAGGGAGGGGGGGGGGGGGGGGTGGGGGGTGGTTTGTGAAACTGCTATTGTTGCGGACCGGGCGTGTTACGGATACATGGTGTAATTTTTTTAGCAATCAAAAAGTGTGTCTAATTAATTGAAATAATGTATTATGAATCATTAAACTTATACAACATTTAAAAAAAAAAATATGAAAATAAATTTCACTAACTCTGTGTTGTGTTTTTTCTGGTAATAAAATGAAGACATAAAACACAAATTTTATCATTTATCATCAATTTTAATCATATGAAATTAAATAAACTTTTTGTCAAATAACTTGCTGCACAATCAGGCCCGGTTCTACGGGGGTGCTTGAGGGTGCTAAGCACCCTCAAACAAAAGTGAAAGCACCCTCAGATAAAATTTTTATTAGCACACATGTAAACGAGATTTTGCCGACAAAAGAAACACAGACAAATTTCACACTCATACATATAGCCTAATACACATAAATCCATTAACGCGATTTTTCAAATCAGAAATCATTTCATTATGCTTTCATGTTTAATGCATTGGATTGGTTGTTTCCTTTCGCGATCGTGATTCGCATAGGTGAAGCTGTCTCTTTAATTGCCCACTTTGCTTGCGTGTGTGCGTCCCTCTCAGGAAATTCGTTAGCTGACTTTCTGAGACGGGGCTGCCTTTAGGTAGCCTAAAAATATGAATCGTCCATTTTTAATCATGGACATATGAAATTGGCTCAAGAAAGCTCAAACCTCTACATCACAACAAGACGAAATGACACCGCCTGCCGATGACAGCAGCGAACCCCGCCCTACAACCTCACTCTCACCGAATGACACCCATTCAAACACCGGTGATAAATCCTAGCAAGTGCCGCGGACGATGTCGCCGACGCCGCCGAGTGACCTAGCATTTGACTGTCTTAACGAGTGAGTCATTTAATCTTTAAATCAGCTGTTTCGTTTAAAAGGACTGATTCGTTGTCGTCAGAGACTAAATGTCAATAATGTAAGTTACTTATATTAACTTCTTTATTCAACTGCATAATAAAATCAGTTTCAATACTTGCAATACTGCTGATATTTGGGGAAAAAGCACTCTGTGTGTAACATTTTTTAACTATATCATATGATATAAATGTAAAGCACAAAAACTCGTTCATGCAGTTCGCATATCGTTTAAAGGGATAGTTCACCCAAAAATGAAACTTCTGTCATAATTTACTCACTCTCATGTTGTTCCAAACCTGTATGAATTTCTTTCTTCTGCTGAACACAAAAGAAGATATTTTGAGGAATATGGGTAACCAGACAGGCCCAAGCACCCATTGACTCCCATAGTAGGAAAAAGAAAATACTATGGAAATCAATGGGGCTCATCAACTGTTTGGTTACAGACATTCTTCAAAATATAATCTTTTGTGTTCAACAGAAAAAAGAAATTCATACAGGTTTGAAACAACTTGAGGGTGAGTCAATTATGACAGAATTTTCATTTGTGGGTGAACAATCCCTTTAACATAACAGCAATTACAATATTGTCGTAGACAGTATCGCTCGGCCCTATTTTGAGCACCCTCACTATTTTCAGAAGCACCCTCAGTGATTTGGTTCTAGAACCGGGCCTGTGCACAATGAGCTTTACTGTTAAAATTAAAGCATGGATTATTCCTTAAATTCAGTTTTGATGATAATTTATTTGGATTAGTGTTAGTGTATTATTACATTGGGACATATCTAAAATCTACTGTACAATGGTAATATATTTCTGTCAAGTTAAACCGAACTTTTATTTTTACGAGTTGCCGTGAAGACCTTTTGAGTTTCTGTGTGTTTGTCATGATGATAGTTTTTCTCAAATGAAGTGGTGAAATGATCACGAAGTGACTTTAGGAGTGGATCTAGAGCCTGGAGAGGAAGTTCATGCATTTGCGTCTTCATATAGGCCAAAAAACAGCGCAAGCGTCACACGTGCTTCAGTGTGTGTGTGTGCGTGTGTGTTAAATGAAACTGCGCGTCGGCTGCACCATTCATTCACACAGAACAAGCAGGATTCGTATTTAAATTGTCTTTCTGGTTTAATATCCACACACACTTGTCTACATCGCGATTTGATTTCAAGTGTACTGAACTGCTTTCTATTTATTCCTCAAAAGATTTACAAATTCCGCGTAAATTCCTTTCTTATGACTGGATTTCGTCAGCATTTTAGGGGGGGCAGGGGGTCGTTTTGGGGGGGGCGGGCCGCCCCCCTAAAGCAATGGTAGGGGAAACACTGGTTTATGAACATTTCAAAATTCTGTGAAGAATTTAGAATTCAGTGTGTAAGTGTTTTCGTGTTTGGTGTACGCGCGTGTGTGTGTGTGTGTGTGTGAGCGCATCACTGATTAGTCGTAGACTTTTGCCCAAGGTACTTCACAATCACTAATAAAACACAAAAATAAGAGGAGTACATAGAAAGATTGGGTCTCATTGATGAAACACGAGCAGAACGAATTTTTGTGTAAATCATGTGTAAAGTGGTTCTGGCGTAAATTTTCGGATTCATTAAAATGTTTGTATTTTCCAAATGTGACTTGGTACACAAGAAATCTACACCTGCTCCCAGCCACGCGTAAATAGTGAGTGAAACACCCGAACGTTTTGCTCATTAATAACTAAGGCTGCATTTTAATTCACCTTAATCGGGTACATATTTGCACAGCATTTTGAAAAAACAATATATATAGTAATTGCATACGGTTTTTCTTTTTACTTCTGGGACTGTTTGATTAACAGATGAAACTCCATTAACTGCATCTGTAATATGCAGCCAAGCTTTCTTTCTTTAGGACCCGATACGCCACTATGTACGCTATGTACACACATTTCACTCTCACATCTGACGTTTACGAAGTATTTGTGAATCAGGAGAAGAGTTTTCGGGAAGGTCTCTTTACGCGCAAATCACTCGCATATTTACTCATATGAATGTTTCATGAATGAGACCCAATGAACCCAAAAAACATAGACATGTTTTTTTAGCAGATGTGCTTTTAACATGGCCTTAAATTTCATTAGTGACTTTACTGACCTTATAGAAAGAGGAAGAAAAAGATAAAGATCATCCCAAAGTTTGGGTCCGACATGGGGAAACGCTCTGTCGCCCTTATATGTGTATTTTGTTCAGACAACACAGAGAAGATTTAGATTTTCAGATCTTTCTCTCTCTGTCTTTTTTAAAACAAACCACATTTATGTATCTAGACTCGCAGCCTCTGACTTCAGATCCAAACAGCGAGAGCATCTCTTCGCAAGTTCTCTTTCATTCCTCAGTAAAGCTACATCAAAGAAGAGCCTTCAAACCTTTATTTAGTGTACTTTAGTGTATTTATGTACTTTACCTCAGAGTCAAATGCTTAAACAAGAGAAAAACAAGTGCATAATTTCCCACTGGAGACGATGGCGTGTTCTCTCTCTGTGTCTCAGGTTGATGGTGTCTGGTTCTGCTGCTCTTCCTCAGCCGGTTCTGGAGCGCTGGGCCGAGATCACAGGTCATGTTCTGCTGGAGCGCTACGGCATGACGGAGATCGGCATGGCACTATCAAACCCACTGAAAGGACCACGTGTACCCGGTACTGCATCACGTCACGAATGTGTAACACAGGGTTCACACGGGTCCTTTGAAATCCTTGAAAGTTTGTGAATCTGAAAAATAAAAGGCTGGAAAGTTTTTGAAAATAAACATACTTAGATACAGGTCCTTGATTTTTTTTATTTTGTGCAAGATGTGTTTTTGGAAAAATTGCATACTAATGTGTTATTTCGACAACACTTCTTGGCCTATGCGCACTAGCTTGCTTGTTTTACGCTAGTTACGCGCATTTACACGTTACGTTAAAGGATTAGTTCACTTTTAAAAAAACTTTTGCTGATAATTTACTCACCCCCATGTCATCCAAGATGTCCATGTCTTTCTTTCTTCAGTCGAAACGAAATTAAGGTTTTTGATGAAAACATTCCAGGATTTTTCTCCATATAATGGACTTCAATGGTAGCCAAACGGTTCAAGGTCCAAAAGACAGTTTCAGTGCAACCTGCAAACTGTTCAAATGGTTTTAAAGGGACACTATGCAGCTTTTTTAGCTTAACTGAACAGCTTCAGAGTTATTGAAATGGTTATATAACTTCTTTCGGGTTGAATGGTGGGCGTCTCGACCCCCCCTGGTGCCTGTGAGCGAAAAAATCCCACTTGCAACTTCGGTGCGGCGGGCCGCGTCAGGAAGTATCGCGTGATATCAGCTCTCGCGATGTAACATATTCCTTTACGGCAACTGCACACATACACACAGGAACAAGGTATAGATGGATGGAGTTTGTCACACTATCGTCATGGCTGAGCCGGCATATAAGATGCAGAAAGCTAGGAAAGCATTGTCGGAGGAACAGAGAAAGAGGAAACGGCAGACTGACCGAGCGAGGAGTCGGACACGAGCATAGGCATAATTTGCGGGTGTGTTATGTCCCCATTGAAACTTCTCGCGGCACGGATGTAACGTTACCATTACAAACAAATAAAACATCTCCAGGTAACTCTAGTAGAGCATTCATTTCGTTCGTTTGTTAAATAAGAGGCGATCTGAAATGTGTTATTTTTGAAATCAAGTGACCAAAGTGCTCGTTGCCTCTGCGATCAGTGGTGCAGATAAGTTACAGTGTTCTGTTGTGACGCGCGCCTGAATCCGTTGCGGGGACTGAGAGACTCTCTATATTTTGTTATGGTAAAATCACAAAACCTAATGCACAAAAAACATGTCCCTGCTTGAAATACAACCACTAATAAACAATCGGTTTTGATGAGGAAAATAAACTATACTACTAGTACCGATTAGAACCCAAAACCTCTGACACACTTGGCAAAAGTTCTGCCTCTGGACCATTAAAATTGTCGGATCTATGTATTTAATCACGTGAAAATTCTCACCACTAACAACATATATTATATCTCATTAAACGACAAATTAAACACAATGTACTATTGTATACTATGTAACAGGCCATGTCACGCTCTGAGTGAGTGGTATTTACGACAGTAACGTTAAATTCAAGTACTCCACAGTAACTCTAGGGGTCGCTGTTTGACAAAAACGGGATTTCTGCATAATGCCCCTTTAAATGACACCAGACGATGAATAAGGGTCTTATCAAGCGAAACGATCGCTCATTTAAAAACAAAATAACAACGTTTAAGTTTTATAAGCTCACATGCCCGCCTTGCTCTGTTCTGTGTAACTCTCCTGTTCGAACTCGTTCATCAAAATGAACAAATCTTTTTCCGAGTCAATTCGTTCATTTCGGTCGTTAAATGAATCAAATGACTCGAAAAAAGATTTGTTCATTTTGATGAACGAGTTCGAACAGGAGAGTCACACAAGCAGAGCAAGGCGGGCATGTGAGCTTATAAAACTTAAACGTTGTTATTTCTTTTTGAAATGAGCGATCGTTTTGCTTGATAAGACCCTTATTCATCGTCTGGTGTCGTTTAAAGCCCTTTGAACAGTTTGCAGGTTGCACTGAAACTGTCTTTTGGACCTTGGACCGTTTGGTGCCCAGCAAAGTGCATTATATGGAGAAAAATCCTGGAATGTTTTCATCAAAAACCTTAATTTCTTTTCGACTGAAGAAAGAAAGACATGGACAACTTGGATGACATGGGGGTGAGTAAATTATCAGCAAAAGTTTTTTTAAAAGTGAACTAATCCTTTAAGAGTTTCCCGCGTGAGGTACTTTGTGTTGTACGTTGCCATGACGTTCACGCGCACACAAAACTACTCTACGATGGTACCTCAACGTTTCACACACACACACACACACACCATGAAACATTGCAAAAATAGTCTGAAACCGCTGAAACGATGTAACCATGCTCTCACTTGAAATGTAGTCAAGTCAAGTCATCTTCATTTAAATAGCGCTTTTAACAATGTAGATTTACATGTACAGCTTTACAGAGATAAACATATAATTTAAGGTAACAGAGATTGGTTTGGTTTTATAGCAGTTCTTGAATAATGTTATTTTCCAGCTAAAGTTAGTTTTGATTGATTCACTTCCGTCGAAATGATCATTTGTTATTAAATTAGGGGCCGCTATAAGACGACACCGTTCTCTCTAAACAGACTTTAAACGCGAACCTGTGATAAATGCAAATGAGCCCTGCCTCCACTCACTCTCTGCAACATCCCTAGTACACTTAAAAAAGTAATTCATTACCCTTAATTCATTTAATTGAAGACAATTCTTACACTCAATTTAATGTAGTTCATTCAGAATAAATCATTTTGTTGGGTCAGCACAATTTTGTTGGTTTAGGTCAAATTAATTTACTCTACTAGATTTAACTTTATTACATTTGTTGTCAAACTAAATTTTCTTATGCTAGTCCAACTTAATTTTTTGATTAATTTACAGAGGTTTACTCTTCTGCACAATGATAACCTCAAAATTATTACAGAAAATCTTCCAAATGCCCAACATAACTGAGCATCAAATGCTAAAATTACTTTAAAATTACGCTAAAATTAATCCTCAAATTTACAGTCCCTTGCAAAGCATGCTGGGAACTACATCTCATCCATTTTTTTTAAAATTTTGAGTGCTGAATGAAGCATGTAACATGTTTATAGATTATAACTATCATGTTGCAATAAAAAAGTGCTTTGGTCTAAAGTACTTTGTAAATCTTGCAAATAAAGCAAATTAGCTTTTATTTTTTAAATTTTTTAGTTTTCATTTGAATATTAGTTTAAGTTTTAGTATTTATGTTATCTTTAATATTTCTATTTTCTAATATTAGTTTTTTTAAGTTTAAGTTTTTCCATCTAATATTTGAATTTTATTTAGATTAAAATATATATATATATATGTACAGGTGAAACTCGAAAAATTAGAATATGGTGCAAAAGTTCATTTATTTCAGTAATTCAACTTAAAAGGTGAAACTAATATATTATATAGACTCATTACATGCAAAGTGAGATATTTCAAGCCTTTATTTGTTATAATTTTGATGATTATGGATTACAGCTTATGAAAACCCCAAATTCAAAATTAGAATATTGTGAAAAGGTTTTCATAAGCTGTAAGCCGTAATCATCAAAATTATAACAAATAAAGGCTTGAAATATCTCACTTTGCATGTAATGAGTAATATTTTAGTTTCACCTTTTAAGTTGAATTACTGAGATAAATTAACTTTTGCACGCTATTCGAATTTTTCGAGTTTCACCTGTACATTAATAAGTAAATGAACACAATGAAATTAAGTTGTGATGAAATGTTCAAAAAGTGTTTTACTTTAGGTCATGATCAAGAGGCAAAATGAATGTTTGAGTGTGATAACTATATTATTTTGTTGTTAACTCATCAGAGATGATTGTGATTGCTAACGAAACGCTGGTTTTGTAAACCTCTTGGTTCTTCCAGACTCAGTTTGGGTCTATTATCATCTCGGCTTTGTTACTTTTGCTTCATCTCCGTAACGTCATGTTGTTGTTTTTTCTCAGTCGGTTTATGACGGCAAGTTGTCACAGATCAAACTCCAGGCTGAAGTAGTTTGTTTGTCTCTCTTTTGTCTGTGTTTTGTTGTTTTATCTTCTGAGAAACTCTCCATGGGTGTTTCTGATCAAACCGCTCCTGTCAGCTTCCACGTCTCCTTTAGTGTCGGTATCAAAGCACCTTTAGTGCTCGTCTCGCAACTTCTTTGGTTTGCTCCGGGTGTGTGAGGATTGTTTTGTTCTTCTTTCGACACCCGTTCGTGAGTGAAGGTGCTAGCGTTGCTGTCAGAGGCAGCTTATGTGGGGTGTAGTTTTATTAGTGACTAGTTTTGCTGGAGTTAAAGCTCAGAGGTGATGATTAAGAGGAGTTTGCCACGGTTCACTTTTCCTGCTTTTCCCCGTGAGACGCCAGCGAAGTAGGTTGAAGTCAATCAATATCAGTCACAGGGTTGACTGTGAACACTAGAGATGAGTCTTATCTAATGTGGACCAAACTATGGCTGTACCTTTTGTTGTAAATATCCATTTGTCCAGAAATTGTCTGGATTTTCATTTCAGTCAGTTCAGGAAATAATGAAATTTTTGATTTCAATGATTTTAAGGAGATCTCAGGAACTCATGGACCAGATAATACATTTTAAAGCCCCCCTGTAGTCAATAATATTATCCCTTAAAACAAATCTTTGATCACTAAAATGGCATATTTCAAAGTTTTTTTTCTTTGAAAAAAAAATTCTCAATGCCTTAAAATATATGAATGTAACTCTATACCCTCATTTAGTATGCGTGGTTCTATAAATATGCAAATGAGCCCCGCCTCCACTCACTCACTCAGCTCAGAGATCCACTGGTTGACGATCACACGTTGATCTGATTGGTTACAAGGTCGTTTGTGACGTCAGAAATAGGAAAATGGGAAAAATAGGTAAAATCTATAGGGCAACATAAAATGAAACAAATCCAAATTGTCAAAAGTAAACAATTTAACAAATTATAATAAGTTTTTATTGTTAGTGGAGTTATTAGTGGCCAATTTAGCATGCATTTAGCATACATGCTACTGTCCAGTTTCTCATACT